CACACACACACACACACACACACACACACACACACACACACACACACACACGCGCGCGCGCGCGCACGCATGTCCGCGCTGAAACAGAGAGTAGTGCCATCTCCGCTTCCCCTCCTGCTTCTCTTCCCCTCCCCCTGAAACTCACAAACGCTTGGATCCGAAGGCGAAGGTGATGGTAAGCTCAGCACGTCCAATAAACCCGCCGCACGTACAAAAACCAAACGGAAAGGTGGAGCTGAAACAACCGCCAAGGGACATTGTTCACGGGCGAACAGCAGCCTTGAGATATCAACAGCGAACTGACTGGCCCCAGGTAATTCATTATTTTATTTCAGTCGTGTAGTTCGATGTGGAAGTCAGGTCACGGGTGCACCAGCTGAAATAGGGGCTCACCACACAGCCTTTCGAAACGTGCAAAATGGAGGCCTGGATGCCGCATCTTCGCCACGCAGGCTTTCGAAACAAGTCCTTTCGAAAGTGTCAGAGACGCGGGCATCGAACGTAGTTTCGAAAGGGCAAGATCCTCCCGCCTGTCATGGGTGTCTCTTCAAAAGACTGTGAGTGGTCTTTTGGGGAAAGGGTCTCTCGAGACGTGCAATTAGCGGGGTGAAAAAAAGAAAAAGAAAAGGGGCTATTACCAGGGCCTGGCTCCACTACTCTCGCCATGCACAAGAGACAAATATCATGGTGGTGTATCTTTCCATGTCCAAGGGGAAGATTCACACCATCCTTTTGCACATGGCGAGAGTAGTGGAGTGAGGCCCTAATGTGCATATCGAAAGCCCTCGCTGTTTCAAAAGTCTGTATGGCGAAGGGGAGGTTTCTTTCGAAACTACTCCTTTCGAAAGGCTGTGCGGCGAGCCCCATAGGCCTGTTGGCTGAAAACCGTTGCCGTGCAATGAAGGATGGGAGAAAAAAAAAAGGGGCACGCCGACCGCCTAGTTCCATCAGGATTCAAACTCAGGTCTGCATTTCACCAGTTTGCGGCTGTACTAACTGGCTCTTCCTTTTCTATTCCGCGCAAGTCCGACGCGACCAGCAGCTGCCCGACCGAGGTCCTCACCTGCCGAGAAAAGACTGAGGGCCTTGCTCCACCACACAGCATTCAACACGTATCTGGGCAATATCATCAGCACGATACATTTGGACTGACCCCGCATTCCGAATCCACGGGGACCAGTTCCAAGCGCATTTAGAATGTGTTGTGCAGCGGACCGAGCGGGCTTTCCGAAAAAGAACAAATACGAAAGAGACGCTGCTACCACGAGGAAAAGGAAACAAAACTGAAGAAATTGAAGCAGGCTGTCCGTGAAAAGCGAATGCGACTGACACATTGGCGCCACGCCTGGCACATTTTATTCCCACAGAGTAAGGCGACCCATCCAATAGCGATACTCGACCTCTTTCGTCCAGATCGCAGCAAAGCAAGGAGAAGAAAAAAGCGATTATGTGGTGCGCTTACAAAAGCGCCGGCATCGGTTAAAAACCGACTTCTAAGGCGGATTGTGGCTGCCCACTTCAACATCCAAAGGCCACAGCAGAGAGATAAGTAACAACTCAGCGAGAACTCATAGAGAGAAAGGTGAGAACCCGGCATGCAGCGTACCCCTGCCGCCCACTTGGCTATAGAGTATACTTGGCTATAGAGTATAGTTTTGAAGTTGTGATGTTTGTCATGCGACGTTGATTCTTACCGATGTTGATAATTTCATTGTGATTCTTACCAATAATCTCATTGTGATTCTTATAGATAATCACATTGTGACCGTTGGACTTGCTAACATCTAGACATCCCCCGGTGGAGCCCGCCCTTAAGTTTCTGATCCACAACACCTCATCGTTGACTGTTTTTTTTCTTTTCCCTCTTTTTAGGGTTTGCAGTAGATTCATGCTTCCTTGGCAATCTCCATATACATCATTGGGTTTGGGAGGAAGAGTGATCCCATCCATTATGACCATCAGAGCCAATTACACACATTCCGATCCTTCTTCACATACGCTTCATTGCTGATCCCTCTACTCATGTGCAGGCTCTGACGTTCGAACTGAAGGAAAGGATGGAAGATTGTTGGGCCCAGGAGTGGACCATACTCCATCCTTGACATCTGAAACTAACCTTTGAACACAAAGAGACCCTCTTCCGACACTGGCATACTGTGGCGGGCAGACGCATGTCAGGCCGTACGCCGAGACATCTGTTTCACAGGTAGCACGAGCATCGCAAATGTCATCTGTGCAAGATGGACACAGTTGGCAATCCCTGTGCACCCCTTCTAAAGATCCAGAACCGCTAACTACACCCGTCTTATCTTTAGAACCGCTAACTACGCCCGTCTTACTGTTCCCTGGGAGTCTACCACCCTTTAACCAAACCTCTGCAGTTGTGTTGCAAAGGGCTACCGATCCGCTGTGAACATTAACGTCCACAATGCGGTCCATTAAAAAATTGTTCTGGAAGCTGGTACTGCATATCAACACATTTGCCCTGGATGCGGTGATTGCACCGGCACCCTCGAGACATTCCCTCGCCTCTTTGAGGAGACACCTCTGCTCGTTGTTCTCAAATGTCGAAGCACTGAGCACGAGCGACCCGAACTGAACGCTGATGGCTCCACCGTCGAACCCTTGGTTGCCGGAAAATACTCCAGCGTAAATGGAAACATTTGCATTGTCTGCGGCGATTGCCCCTGCACCTCCGCCATTATCGACACAGCCTCTGAACACAACTCCCTTGGCGTGCAAGCTGCTGAATGAACCAGAAATCCTGATGCAACCACCTTCAAATGCAGAGAAGTCGTCGAACGTTGTCGCCACCAAAATGACGCTCGACGTACCGATCGTGTCAATGGCTCTGCCGCCGCTATAAAACCCCCCTCCATTAAAATGACAAGCGACAACCGTCACTTCCGACCTTCTGACGTGAAGAAGGGAAACATTCTGAAACCCTGGCGATAGTCTGAAATCAAGCGACTCAAAATAAACTCTAGTTCCTAACCCTATTACAGTGAATAACCTAGGTCCACTTAACCGGCAGCCGTAGAAGGCGTGTGGTGTCCTGCCTTTCTCATCGCTGCTAATGCCTGTGCCCTCCGTGCCCGCTCCCTGCCGCCGCCGCAAACCATGGACACCCCAGCACTCTCCGATTATCGACAACGACCGTCTGATTAAAATGTAACCCCCCTCAAATGCAATATCGTGAGTTACCTTGATTACTCGCACGTTGTCATCATTGATTGCATCCATCATCGCCGAGTAATTGCCGACTCTAGCAATCCTCGGAGCTTCTGTCTCAAGCATGGACGGTGCCGCCGTGCTGAGCACAGTGAAGACTGCAAACAGAAGCAGGGGCAGAAGGAGGAGCTTCATAACCCTGACCAGCATCATAGAGCTCCGGATTCACTGAGCAGGAAATCAGATTTTGAACTGCTCCTGCGCGCCAACTTGACCCACCTGTGAATATGTTTCTCAATCTGCAGTCCACAGGATTAAAGATCCTAACCGCCAAAATTGTTACTCTCAAGAAATAGTTAAGGGGAAAAACAAAAAAAGTTGGTGCAGCACCAACGCGGCTAGCTCATAAACTGTTGAAATACACACCCAAGTTGGTACACTCATAAACTGTTGAAATACAAACTGTTTAAATACAGTTGGTACACTCATAAACTGTTGAAATACAGTTGGTACACTCATAAACTGTTGAAATACAGACCCAAGTTGGAATCCAGACAACCAGATGAGCGGAATAAAGTCATTCTAAGAAGTCAGTGCAGGGTTGACGACAATCATCGTAATGCCATATACAGAAACAGTGCCTGCACGACTCCCTCACATCACACCTACCCATCGCGGCGCTTCATGTCACCATGAACTAGTGAAAACACCCAAAAACGCCGGGTAGCATAACAAAAAAATAACGATCACAATGCTGTACAGAAATAGTGGCTTCTCTGCTCCTTCACAACAATCGTTGTTAGGGTATGCTAAGATGCGTCGACTCCACAGGACATGCAAAATCTCGAGCTATACAGAGGTTAGGTTAGCAAGGAGCCTGCACAAGGACGACACACAGGGAGGGACAAAAGCGACAAGACGAAGATGTGTGAGGGCTGACCAGCGAGAGATGCTCAGGAAAGCAGCCTGACCACTTGATGACCACTTGACGAGCGGCAATAGGTGGCATGGGATGAGCTGTACAACGACTGCTGTTTCACTGGCAATGTCAAATACCTGGGGAGAAATGAGAAAAGACAACGCGATGTGTGATATCTACTTGTATCTGGCAAAGGCTGATTTGGCTTGTGCTATTGAAATGTGATCAGTTTTCAGATCTACTGAATAGCACGGCTTTCGCAATTGGGATCCATCGCATGTACGAAACCGCCATCACTGCCGCTTAACCGAGCACTTGCGCAATCCCCTTTCTGCATCCATCACCACACCAATCAATCAATCTCTCTCTCGGCCAATCCACCAAAAATCTGTCGCTTGGCCGATCCACCAAAAATCTATCGCTTGGCCAATCCACCAAAAAATCTATCGCTTCGCCGATCCACCAAAAATCTATCGCTTGGCCGATCCACCAGCTTGCACCTGAGGAGAAATACAATCACGAAGTCGAGAGTTACCTCTAAATTCAATAACATCTCCATATGTGGTAATACAGATTCAAAGAAACAATCAATCAGTCTCAAAGAATTGATACAATACTGATCGATGGGAAGCAAAGCGTGTCATGCACGCTATACTCTCAAGGAAGCAAGCTCACGCTCGGCCAAGCGCGACAGCAACGTCAGCCAAGCAGTATAGCGCGGCGAAAGAAAACAGAAAGACATAACAACTTAACAAGAACGAAGTAATTAAAGATGACCTAATTCAGAAGAGCAGCTGTGGGATCAAGGGTAGCCCTCGCCTGCTCCGATATGCTCCAACCCCAGCGCAACAGCCCATGAATTGCCACACACAAGCACATACAGGACACACAGATGCTCTCCTTACCTGCTCCGGTACGCTTCAACCCCAGCGCAACAACCCTCACCTGCTCCGCTACGCTTCAACCCCAGCGCAACAACCCATGAATTGCCACACACAAGCAGGTACAGGCCACATAGATGCTCCCCTCGCCTTCTCCGGTACGCTCCAACCCCAGTGCAACAACCCAGGAATTGCCACACACAAGTACATACAGGCCACACAGATGCTCAGAGTGCCTTTAAGCAGTGCCAAATAGTTGGTCATTTCTATAGAGTGATTGTTCGCTGTCATAATCATCTTCGCGACCAAGTATCGGCTGTCAAGCGCGCTTTCATCCTACCTCGCTACTACCTCTACCGCTATGGCTAAACTCTCCTTCTCGCCCGCTTCATCTTCGGGCATACTGCAGACCACCTCGCACAAGTCGCTGTAGCAGCGCTTCCGCAGGAATGAATGAATGGCTGGGCGCTGCCTCTTGATTTATACTTCTGTAACTCGTTGGTCTGCCCCTTTCCCATGCCCGTGGTGCACACAGTCCCATACGGTACTTGCTTGACTGGACTAGGACTGACTGGGACTGGGTACTGCTGACTCCACCACTTGCCCACTTGCCTCTGGACTACTGTAACAACGAGTGAAGGGCCACTTCCGGACCTACCGGAAGTCTGTGGACTTGGCCCTTCGACACTATAGCAGCTACGACCTTGACCGTTCAGGACTGTAGCAGCTACGACCTTGACCTTTCAGAAGTCCTACAGCTATGACTTCTAGGACCTACTAAGACCTACAAACAACAGGTCTACAGATCGAACCCCTACCACCTACGGACCCTACGACAGTCCACCAACTGTTAGGAATACACAGGTCACGGGTTCAACTATCGGGGTCGACACAGATACTGTACACAGGTAAGGTGAGGACTAGGGATCGAGCCCTGGGATCTGTATCCGGTACTGCGAACAGGTGAATACCGTTTCACTTACACAGGCTGTGTACTCTGCCGTTAAGGCCTGTAACCTTGCGAGCGTGGGTGCACATTTTGTTTGAATGAGGATGGCATGGCCCTTACTCACACTCAAACCCCCACCTCGATGTCACCAACTCTAAAGAGAAACTACCATTCCCTGTTTTTCTATCACTGTAGTTCATGCTCTCATCCCTATACTCCCCCATCTTTATTTTTTTTTCCTTTTTTTATTTTTTTCCAAACACTCCCACACTAGGCTACCAGAGTGGCCCAGGGCAAGTCGCCCGGCCAGGCAAAAAAACAAGAAAAAAAGGTGAAGAATTTCGATGTGACCCTGAGGCAAAAGTTGTTCAGTTTATTCTTGTGCATCACATAGTTTTTTTTTCAGATTTTTTGGATTTATTTTATTTTATTTTGGCTCAACCCTTCGTTGGTCCTCGCACGGGCGGGCCGCCCGGTTAAACAAGGTGACCCAGGCGGGGCGGCAAGCTCCCCCAAACACAACACATCCTCATTACAAATGTATGTAGTATGTACACAAACTAGGTTTCTGGTCCAGTACAGTGAAGATAAGGGTGTGTTGTGTTCAAGAGAAGGTGGTAGGTAACAACCACCACACCCACAGAATGGCAATGACTAATCGCGTGTCGATTCCAGGTGAGGAGGAAAGCACATGGTTCATCACAGGTGAGCATCCAGTCAACGTAGCACATCTTCGGCGACAAGGACAACGGCATTCAGTGGAGGCGCCCAAGTAATCCACAATGTTGAGTACCATACATGATATAGAAACCCTACTGGTTGGATTGCTTGTGTTTTCCAAGGGAAAAAAATCTTTTTGAAATGGATGGTGTTAGTTTGGCAAATGCTCGCTCTCGGGAAAGGGGAAGGGTGAAAAAAAAAAGAAAAGGCAGGAGGTCATTACCGTCCCGGAGGGAGTCTGTGGCTTGAATCGTGGCGTGAGCCATGACACCATTTACCCCAGTTCCTAGTCATCGGCGGCATGAACAAGGGCTGGATATTTAGCGGCCGGGTCCACTCGCAAGGCACACCGAGGGGGTCCACACGCAAGGCACACCGAGGAAGGAATGAGGTCCCGGAGGGAGTCTGTGGCTTGAATTGTGGCGTGAGCCATGACAACATTTACCCCAGTTCCTAGTCATCAGCGGCATGAACAAGGGCTGGACATTTAGCGGCCGGGTCCACACGCAAGGCACACCGAGGTATGAGGGTGGTGCTGGAGACTGTCAACGACAGGACGAGCATACTACCACTTGAGTTGGTCATTCCTCAGTGCAACCTGCAGGACGTCGATAGTCGAGCCCTTTGAATGCTCAACTATAGTCGAGGATGAAGTCGTCCTGGTCGATGGATGGTTCTATAGCTGTTGTTGAGCCTAACAGGAGTGCTTGATAGGCATACCTGCCTACCGGTAGTGGCTGAGTGATGCACGCACACAACTGTTGATGAAAAAAGGTCAAGAGTTCAAATCCGTAAGAATAATGGTAGGTGTTGACCCTCCGTAAAAGAAGAACAGGATTTGCTCGATAGGTCTGCTATTTGCCCTGTGATGAGTCACAGGGTTGAAGGTCTCTTGCCAGGAAGTTACCTCGAGGGCAGCAGGGACGCAGGGCAATTCACGCACAAGTTGCATGTACATGTGCTTACATGTTTACGCTGGTACGTGACAATGACAGCGCTCTATGTGGTTCTATGTTTACACTGGTATGCGGCCACAACAGGGCTCCTGCCTCTCAACTCCAACCTGAGCCATCATCACTGCAGACAAGTATGAAACAGCCTTGGCAGTAGAACAGCATCAGTGAGGGAGACTTTCACTATCAAGCCTGAGCAATGCACTTCGCCTGTGCGTTTCTACCAACGTGTGCATTGTGCTTCATGTGCAGCAGCTATCATCACACTGGAACAAGACACTGAGGGGGCTACTGCCTCTTCCAGTCCAGCCAGAATCATCATCACTGCAAATAGGTATGAATTTACTATGAAACAGCCTTAGCGCTAGAGCAGCATCACCGAGAGCGACTTTCACTATCAAGCCCCTGAGTGAGTGAGTGATGCACTTCATACGTGAGTTTTTATGTATGTGTGCTCTAGGCGCAGCTATGATTACACTGGAACAAGACACTGAGAGGGCTACTGCCTCTCCACTTAGACAGACTCTGCCATCACTGCAGATAGATGTGAAACAGCCTTGGGCGTAGAGCGGCATCAGTGTGTGTGTGTGTGGGTGAGAGAGAGAGAGAGAGAGAGAGAGAGAGAGAGAGAGAGAGAGAGAGAGAGAGAGAGAGAGAGAGAGAGAGAGGGATACTCTCCGTTCGCATACTCAACTCTCCGTTCGCATACACAGGATCACCCTGGATATCCCACACGCGATACTCTGAACTCACACACACATACACTGAACTCTACCTACAGCTATGGCGGCTATGGCCCTACTACCCTATCGCTATGGCTACACTCCTCTCTCGCCCACTTCGTCCTCGGGCTCACTGCAGACCACCTCGCACAAGTCGCTTGTGGCAGCGCTTCCGCATGGCTCACACAGGAATGAATGAATGACTGGGCTCTGCCTCTTGACTTATACTTCTGCAGCTCGTTGGTCTGGCCCTTTCCCATGCCCGTAGTGCACACAGTCCCATGCGGTACTTGCTTGACTGGACCAGGACTGACTGGGGACTGGGACTGTTGACTCAGCACGGGTAGACTCCACCACTTGCCCACTTGCCTCACCACTTGCCCACTTGCCTCACCACTTGCCTACTTTCCTCACCACTTGCCCACTTGCCTCACCACTTGCCCACTTGCCTCAGCCTAAACGTGGGCAACTTCGAAAGGCCACTACTGGGACCTTCCAGAAGGCCGTGGACTTGGCCTTTCGTTACTGTAGCAGCTACGACCTTGACCTTTCTGGACTGTAGCAGCTACAACCTTGACCCTTCGAGACAGCTACAGCTACGACTACTAGACCTGGCTGGGACTCCTACTCGACAGGTCTACACATCGAATCCCTGCTACCTGTGGACCCTACGACAACCTACCAGCTGTTACAAATGCACAGATCACGGGTTCAACTCTAGGGGTCGACACAGATACTGTACACAGGTAAGGTGGGGACTAGGGATCGAGCTCTGGGATCTGCATCAGCTACTGCAAACTGGTGAATACCGTTTCAGAGAGAGAGAGAGAGTTTCCCAGTGAAGATTGAGAAAGAAGAAACTATGTTTAGTGACGAAACCAGCAGAAGTTCGTTCTTTTTTTCGAAACCAATATTGACGTTATTCATGATGATGCACTGAATATGTGAGGTGGCACAGAGAAAAAGGGAGAGGACAAGCCAGGGAGGTGGTGAAGAAGAAACAGCTGTCTAGAAGGAGGAGAGCAGTGAGCGGAGGTGGAATGAAGATTGAGAAAAGATTTGAGCAAGCAGATTCCAGTCAAGCGGACTAAGTTAAACAGAGCTGGAGGAGATCAGGGAAGAGAGGGAAGCAATGAAAGATACGTGGAGAGATGTGGGGGTGAACACCGCAGTGACAGGCACAAGAGACGCGGTTGCTCGCTGGAACGCGTACGAAAGCAAGAAAAACAAACAGGAAAATTCGTTTGGAGCTAAAGAGGACAGCCATAAGAGAGGCGGTTGCCGGCCAGAACGTGCAAGAAAGAATGAAAAACAAACAGGCAAACTCGTTTCGAGCTCAAGAGGGGAGGACTGCGATGGCAGGAGTCTAAAACAGGAAAGGGATGCTGCACATGAATGTGCGGCAAGGGGAAGAACTCGGTATTAATGTCACATGGTCGAAATGGATCAGATGCTGAACTCGATATTCATGTCACATAGCGAAAATGGACCAGACGCTCAGATGTGACCTATGAGCCGCTGCACAAGCTGATGAATATGGAGGAGGACCAGAAGGTACTGTTAGTGAGTGGCCAAGAGGAAAATGCAGATGCGCAGGATGATACCCACGACGGCGTCCGCAACGGTTCATCCTTTTCTTCCACTGCAATCACAACGGCCTTCCTAATCCCCAGGTCTATACTACTATAGGATGGACTCAATAGTAAAAAGTTAAAAACTCCTAAAGGCTGCTGCAGCCAGCTTCTGTTGCATTGGCAACACGCATAGAACTGCAAGAGGCGGAAAGTAGCCTTAAAACCGCAGCGCAGGTACAATTCCCAGGTATGTTGTTTAGATGATTGGGAGTTCTAGATGAAGTGATTTTTTTTTATTTTTTTTTGAACAACACCCCCTGCAGTGCTCGTGCTGCTGATAAAAGCAGGCACCAAGAAAACTAATCATCGAAGTATGAAATACAGCTAAAGATGCGATACCTTAAAAGTAAATAAGTAAAATCTTAACTTATTGAAGGAATCAATTCATTATTTGCTTGGTGAGGTTCTAGAATACTTAAAAAGCAGATAAAATCGAATACATATAATTATGTTAGATAATAAAAACGAAATGAAAAAGATCTCCACAAAGAATAATTCATTTAACAGTATGCTCTGGTTAACCGTGGTGGTCCCAAGCCAAATTGTTAGGTGCTGCGGGTTCTCTTAACCCACCATGGTAATGCAGGTCTTCACAGGGTGTTTTCCTTTAAAAAAAAAAAAAAAAAAAAAGAAGAAGGAGAAGAAGAAGAAGAAGAAGAAGAAGAAGAAGGGTCGGTGGCCTAGCTCAGTTGGTAGAGCACGAGAGTGGCATTCAGGAGATGTGGGTTCAATTCCCCAAGGTCTTCATTCGAGCCCGCGGCCTCCTGCGGCTCGCTGCGGGTTCACCAGCTGAGTTAGTCGGCTCCTCCCCCTCCCCCCGGTAGGCCTTGGTGGGATCTCGGCTACCCCCTCCATCCATTGCCCGAGGTTAGGAGGAAGCCCCGGTGCTCAGAAACGGTCCCACAGGAGGAGTTCAGTGCCAGCCCATAACTCCTAGCGGTCCCAGCTTGTGTGCATTGATGAACTGCAACAACCAACACTTGAAACTAGACTTAGATAGGAAGGTTAGGTAGAGTGAAGAATATAGCTTAGTTAGAAAAGAAGAAGAAGAAGAAGAAGAAGAAGAAGCCAATTGCAGGTCAGGCGTACAGGATGGAGAAGGCCGGCGCCGCCTGGCAATTTCGTGCCCTGACCGGTTCACACAGACTTGGCGTGCCGCAGAAAGCCATATCAGGAAAAAAAAAAGGAGGCTTGGATGACTGGCGGTTTAACCGTACACGAAGGAGGTGTGGAGAGGGGAGGATAAGAATGAGGATGCCTTATGTGCTTATTGGTCTGTCAAGACCAGAAGTCTAAAGGTGCATTAACCCCTTAGACAGCTGAGCTGAAGCCACAGCGTATTATTTCTAAGGTTCTGGACGAGGAACAGGCGGTGTTTGCTTCTTCTTGCCTTTAAGGGTTTAAGCAAAGAAGACCTCAGAGCGGGGCTGAGTGCTGATGAAGGTTAAGGTTCTGGAGCAGGAATAGGTGGTGGTTGCTTCTTCTTGCCTTTAAGGGTTTTGGCAAAGAAGACCTGAGAGCTGGGCTGAGTGCTGACGAAGGTTAGGGTTTTGGAGACAGGATAAAACAGTCAGACAGGGGTCACAGGACCCTGACATGGTCAATCCTCCTGGACAGTGTTAAAAAAAAAAACAGTTTCATGACAAAAACAAGAGCAAAAGCACTACCAATCCAGCTGACCAGAATAAAATCATTCTGACTTACCTGAGGCCGGTCAGTTCAATGATGGATGATATCTCAAGGCCGTCGCCCTTTTTCTTGTTAAAAAAAAAAAAAAGAGCAAAAGCACTACCTGCTGAATTACTCCTCCCTGCAAAAGTCTCGGATTTAAGGGGTTTGATGAGCAGACGAGCGAAAGATGGATGGCATGTCGCAAGGGAGATGTATCGTAATGACGTGTTACTCTGTAAGAGGCAAGAACAAAGGTCATGTGATGCTGACTGACCCAATGACAAGCTGGGATGGGTCTGTCTGAGATAACAACAAGGCATTAACTAACTATGGCGGTGCCATTGGCAGTTCTTTCAGGCAAAGTCAACTGCTCACTCAAACAAACATTGATGATCGATATGGTTGTTTTCTTTCTTGATATTTCTTACTTCCAGCACTCTGACTTCCATCACAGCCAAGCATGCATTCAGCTTTTAGCACTCGCTGCACTGTTCATCAGGAGATGAGAACAGCGGGAACTTTGCAGGCGCGCTCTACATGATAGACATTGCAAACTCGACGACAGCCTCTGCATGGTAGACATTGCAAACTCTGATAGCCCAGCGTCCCATGAAACGTCGAATGTTGCATTAATATCCACAATTTCACCCCCATTTTCCCTCACAACAGCAGCACCAGCAGCAGCAAGAAGAAGAAGAAGAAGAAGAAGAAGAAGAAGAAGAAGAAGAAGAAGAAGACGATGACAACGACGATGACGACGACGACGACGACGAAGAAGAAGAAGAAGAAGAAGAAGAAGAAGAAGAAGAAGAAGGAAGATGACGACGACAATGGAGACGATGACGAAGAAGAAGAAGAAGAAGAAGAAGAAGAAGAAGAAGAAGAAGAAGAAGAAGGAGGAGGAGGAGGAGGAGGAGNAAGAAGAAGAAGAAGGAGGAGGAGGAGGAGGAGGAGGAGGAGGAGGAGGAGGAGGAGGAGGAGGAAGAAGAAGAAGAAAGAAGAAGAAGAGAAGAAGGCAGGTCGTTGACGGGTCAACAGTTTGGCAGGTTTCACAGTTCGAACTGACCGGAGCTCTGTGCAACGACCCACACAATTTTCAGACACAGAAATCTGAGTTTGGCTCAGCAGATTTGTGTGTTTGGTGAGATTCTGAGTTTTGCCTGTGTTTGGGCTGAGATTTCTTTCAGAATAGCTAGCTTTTCTGTGATGAATCTATTGAACAGTCCCAGTGCCAGCTGTGCTCACCTGTCTGGTTGTGCTTTCTATCTGGGCCTCAAAGAGGGATACATCTGTAAAAAAATGTTACACTGCAGGGGTAGTTCGGTAAGTTGTCTACGGCAGACAGGTATGTAGAGTCTTGAAACGACAAGTTCGGACATTTTGAAGTTCTCACGTGGTCTCAAAGCCGGGGTACTTGCACGACGATCGGGACTAGGTATAAGCTCCACGGTAAGTACTTGTTTTCTGGGACAATTCCAACCTTCCTCTGGTCGCATGCACTGATTAATGCTTCACAGATGTATTCTTTCCTGTTTCTCATTCTTCCCCCAAAATGGTTCAGGTTTCTTACTTGCATGATTTGCATCAAACGAGTTTGAGGCCGGATGGATAATCATGGAAACCCTGGGTATCCCATGCCATTACCTCAACTATTAGCCCCAGAGAGTTCAAACTCGTAGTTCGCCCCGTTCCGTTCCTCCCCACACAGCCCACCTGGAACCCCAAAATAATGTCACCCTTCCCTTTCTGGGATGTCCAAGATAATACCCCTTTAAAAATTTGCACCATTTATCTATCTATATGCGTGTCATCCTTGCGCAGGGGCCATGCTAATCTTCTCTTTCTCTGTACGTTCCAATTCTAACAGATGCCCCCAAGTTTAGTTTCATTTGATAAAAATGAATAGAATGCCACGCCCCGGTTATTATCGCTGCATGTAGACTGAAAGTTGCACCAAATACGGCGATAATGACCAGGTGTTCTATTCGGGTGAGGACGGTACCCTCGTTACTACTACTAATCATTCTCTGTTTCTTTCTGCCCTCCATCGACACACTTCCACCTCTTCAATAGAATGCCACGCCCCGGTTATTATCGCTGTATGTAGACTGAAAGTTGCACCAAATACAGCGATAATGACCAAGCGTTCTATTCGGGTGAAGACGGTACCCTCATTACTACTACTAATCATTCTCTGTTTCTTTCTGCCCTCCATCGACACACTTCCACCTCTTCAACGTAAAAACTTGTCGGATCAAGCAAGGCCTCTACTTCTGCCTCCTTGACATCAGAACCCTTGCACGACACAAGAATCACGAGAAGACCCTTCATAACACTAGAGCAGAGCCTGGTCAGAGTCTGAATGCCTGACCAGGTTGTCAGATTGCCTGGCGTGTCAGACGTCAGGTCAACCACTGTCACGAGGAAGTCTGAGTGCACCCGCGACGGGTGGCCCTGGTAAATGACGAAGTCGCTGCCGTATTGAATCCCTGCTCGGACGATCCAGCCTTTGCACCGCAGATGATGATACGCAGCATACATCTGCGGGAACGTGTTGTTGGAGGCACGGAAGGCTTTCCAGAGGTGAGTTTCTCCCATCTCTGCTGCAATACCGTTCTCTGACAGCTGCAGCACCTTCAACCACCCAACAGCATAGCTGAGGAAGAATGCCTCTTCTGCACTCAGATACAAACTGATTCCACGTGGCTCTTCCTCCTCTTCCTGGTGATCGTCTTCATCTAAAGTTCCGTTCTTCTTGGCAACACAGGGACACGCGCCGCCGTGCGGTGCAGGCAGCAGCACGTTGCGCTGCGTCGGGGGAGACGTGTCACCGTGTGGTGGTGCAGACAGCAGCACGCTGTGCTGCAGCTGGGGAGGACACGTGTCGCCGTGCGGTGCAGACTGCAGCAGCACACTGTGCTGCAGCTCGGGAGGACACGTGTCGCTGTGCGCTGCACGCAGCAGCACGTTGCGCTGCGTCGGGGTAGACGTGTCACCGTGTGGTGGTGCAGACAGCAGCACGCTGTGCTGCACCTGGGGCTGGGGAGGCAAAAGGAACACCTGCCGACCAAAGCACCCGCGGTTCAACAGATCTAGTTGATCCTGTGTCGCATTTCTGACCACAACCCCTAAGCCACCATGATAAGTTGCAGTTAATTGCTGCACAGGAGCTGCCATGGCCTCTAGAACCTTGAACCATGGACCTTCCTTAGCGGATGCAGAAGACGCCCCTTTCCCCTTCCAATGAACTCGTCTTCCGCTGGTGAGCCTTTGAGGCATAGGCAGGATGTTAGCATCATCCTTGCCACCGTCGACCCCTTCGGCAGCCATATTTTTTATATTTTACTGCCCACAAACAAAAATAAATATCCACAACCCACAAAAAAGAACTCACTATGCGTGGCATTACCATTTCCCCACCGTCACAGCATAACTACCACAGCACAACTATCACAGCACAACTATCACAGCACAACTATCACAACAGCATAACCATCACAGCATAACTTATTGGCTTTGTCGGATGTTCCCCTTCCAATTAGATATCCTATCCTTATCTCTTCATAGGCCCCACAAGGGCAAAAAGGCAGGATGCTGGAGATCAAAAGGGCATCCCCGAACCAGGTTCCAACGCAGATGCAAACATACCTGCCATGTAGCAAGCACAGCATGGCCCTGAGACCACTACTCGGTACCGTCGTTATCATCATCATCATCATTATCGTAGCCCTTCTGGGTCTTCTATTCTGATTGAATAATGTGGCTGCCACGTTGTATGATAACCTACTCTTATTCCTTGCTGTATGTAATACTTCTGTCTCTTCCTCCCAACTCAGAGATCTGGACGGATGATTCTGCCACACCAAAAGATGAAACCCTACTCTCTCTCTCCTCCCTCCTCCCCCCTTCCCCCTCCCCCTTGTTTACTTCTCTTGCTTCACCACCACCTCCCTCCCGTCCCCTCCTTACTTCTCCATCACCTTCTTCTCCCTTTATCTTTCTTCCCCCTCCCTATAAGCTCATCTTTCCCTTGCTTGCCACGAAACTTGCCTTCCATGTAGAGTGACAAGCGGCCTCGCTCCACTACTCTCGACTTGCACAAAAGACAAAAATCATGGCGGTGCATCTTTCCATGTTCTTGCGAAAGATTCACTCTCGTTTTGCACATTTCGAGACCAGTGGAGCGAGCCCCAAGCTTCCTCCTCCTCCTTTCTGTTTTGTTCTCCCAACTCCAGCCCCCAAGATGCCTCTTTTCTTTTTTTTTTGGTTAAAAAAAAGAAAAAAAAAGGGTGACGACCTTGAGAATATCACACAATATTTCGCCATCTTCTTCTTCTTCTTTTTTTTTTTTTACGTTTAAAATCATCTAGGGCGGGACTGGGGGTGAGGACCGGCGTGCCTCCCTGACGAGAAGATGGTGGCCCCCAAGGTAACTATCCCACTGGTAGGATCTCTCCCTGCGCTGTTCCTCCCTCACCTTTCCCGTTCTCTTGCTATTCTCCTCCCCTCACCATCCCTCTCTTTCTTGCCTCAGGGCGTGCCTCCGGTTATCAGTGACAAGCCAAATGACATCCGCCCTTCCCCCTCCCCCCACCTCCCCCTCCCTCTCCCCCTTCCTCTCTCTTCCCTACCTACTCACCTTTTCCATCACCTCCCTTCCGCCAATCCCTTCCGGGAAATGGAGGGCACAAGTTCTAAGATGGCTTTGGGGATCTTTCCCCCAAAGCCATCTTACAACTTGTGCCCTCCATTTCCCGTAGGGATCTTTCCCCCATCCTCTTTCCCTACCGATCCGCTTTTCTTATCTTCTTCTCCCCTTGTCCTGTGTGGGTCACCTCTCTCTTCACGTCGATCTCCCCTACCCACTCGCCTTTCCCGCCTCCCTCCCTCCCTCCCGCCTGTCCCGAGGGCATCTTAGAAATTGTGCCCTCCATTCCCCCCTCCCAATCTTTACCCCACCTATCCGCTTTTCTCATCCTCTCCTCTCTCTCCTTGTCCTGTGTCGCTCACCTCTCTCTTCCCGTCTCTCCCCTACGCACTCCCCTCTTTCTCTTTCTTCCTTCTCCATTGCCTCCCTCCTTCCTGTCCCGATCCCATCTCTCAGAACTGATGCCCCATCCTTCCCCACAGCAGTCCGCTTTCCACATCCTCTTCTCTCCTTGTCATGTCTCGGTCACCTATGTCTCTCTCTCTTCCCCTGGTTACCCACGCCATTCTCTCCTCCTCCGTTGCAATCATCTCCAAGCTGCGTCCTCCTCCCATACTCATGTGGGCCCTCCGGGGATACGGTATGTACTCTCCTCTCTCTCCCCTCTCTATTGTTCGTTCTCTCGTTCTTTGTTCTCTCTTTATTTGCTCTCCCGATCGACTGCATATTTCGCAATTACCCTATCCCTCTCCTGATTCACGCCCATCGTCATTATCATGCTCTCTCCTTTCCGTACACCCTGTTCTCCTCCCTCTGGAGATGAGCCCCTCTTCGCTCTCTCCTTTCCGTACACCCTGTTCTCCTCCCTCTGGAGATGAGCCCCCCTCTTCCTGCCGCACAATCTCTTCTTCCCCACCTTGTCTGGATCCCCACCCTACACGACCTCATGTCCTTCCACTTTTGGGTTGACGTCCTTTTCCATCCACTTCATGACGAGTTACATCGTCAAGCGGACATTCCGCCTTTCTCCTCCTCCCCTCGATCCCACATCATGATCGGCCTCCTCCCGATCCGCGCTGCTCTTTTTTTTTTTTTTTTTGCTCATCCCCTTCGTCACAAAACAGACACCGACTTATATCCTCTTGCCGTTTATTTACTTTTTTAGGACCCTCCTCGACATCCTCCCCCCTCCCCCTTTCCCCCTCTACAACCACCTTGAGTCCGACAAACTTAACGAGCATGCTTCACCCTATTCTCGATAACTCACTTTCTGCTTCCCCTGTCTGTCGCCAGATTCCGATCCAGACGGACGAGTAAATCCTAGCCCTCCTCTCCTCCTCCTGATCCCGCACCCTCGCCCTCCAGCCACTCAAGATTTCGATAGCTACCTTCCTTTTCCTCCATGCCTGACCATGCACCGACCTAACCTCCCCCTACTAGTAGTGTTCCTCCTCTCGTTGTCTGTCCGCATTCACGGCACGATTGGATCCCCCCCTACGCGTTCCAATCGTGCACAACTCCTGTCCCGCTTGCGGCATAGCACCCTCATAAAAATCGAGCAGGCGAATGGACGGATCGATGCAGGGAAGGGGCGATGTAGAGAGAGAGAGAGAGAGAGAGAGAGAGAGAGAGAGAGAGATTCTCTTTCTCTCCCCGTCACTCAGTGTGTGTATGTGGGGGGGGAGAGAGAGAGAGAGAGAGAGAGAGAAAGAGAGAGAGGAGAGGAAGAAAGGGAGAGAGAGAAGATGCAGTTCGCCACGGCAGCCGAACCCACCTTTCTTTTTTTTTTCTAAGTCAGATTGTAAAAGGAATCTCTTACCCATCCTCCTCGCGCCTCTCAACGTACAACACCCGTGTCTGTGTGTGTGTGTGTGAGAGAGAGAGAGAGAGAGAGAGAGAGACACCGTCGCCCATACGCGCTACCAAGGATGCAAAACCCTGTTACACTGTTGAACGACAGACCAAGTTCGAGTCCGTATGGATCCCATGAGCCGAGTCTCGCGTGACGCCGGCGCGAGACCCGGTCTTCAGGTTAGGGACCCTGCCTGGGTGGCGGGCCCAGGGCCGACGAACTTGCAGCGACCGGCGGGCCCACGAACCGGCGCGGGGGCTAGGTCCCACTTGCACGAATTAAGAGATACTGACCGTAGATAGCAAAGATCAACGGCCCAAATCTCCTAATTTGCGCAAGTGGGACCTTGCCCCGGGGCAGGAGTGAAAAGCCGAGTGCCAGGCAGGCAGACTGTGGTCCCCAGCGTATAAGGGCTGCTGCTCTTACTGAACTAAGGGTCAGATCCCACTACCCCGGATTATTCATTTTCCACCCTCGATTACGAAGATCAACGGTCAGAAATGAACAATAGGGGCTAGTGGGTGGTCTGGCCTTAAGGCAATGGTCCTTCATGGTTTTTTTATTTTTTATTTTTTTTTTAGGTGGGGAGTGAAGTTAGCACGTTTCATTGCAAAACCGGGACAGGGGGCCGGGAATAAACCCCAACCAATGGTACTATTTGGGGATCAATCCAACCCTTCAAGAACCAAAATTGCTAATAAAATTTCGGATCATCGGTTTTTGGGAGCTCGTAGGAACCCAAGATTCTATAGCTCTTACTGGGCAGTTTATCGCCTGCGCCTGCGCAACTCCTTCAAGAATGCAGTTAGGACCTAGGCTACCAGCCGGGCCGCCCGGGTCCCGGGTGTCCAGCCCGTGCAAGGACCAAGGAAGGTCCCAGCAAAAAAAAAAAAAATCCAAAAAAATCGAAAAAAAAACTATGTTATGCARAAAAAAAAAAAAAAAAAAACTGAACAACTTTTGCCTCAGGGTCACATCGCAGACCCCCACTGGCGGCCCCAACCCTATACCCTAACCATTAGGGGCAAGGGGCAACATGAAATCTCCCCTTCACAGAGAGAGGAGACTATACTTGCAGGGGTCCCCTCTAGATAGTCTTAGGAGTAGGTAGTGGAAGGCAAAGAAACAGAAGTTGAGAGAAGAATATAGAAAAGAGAAAAAAAAAATTCTTCACCAAATTTAGAATAAAAATTAAATAATTCTTTTATCTTTTTAGTTTTTATTTTTTTGGCCCGGCCGGGCAAGTGCCCCCGGGCCACTCTGGTAGCCTAGGTTAGGACCTTAATTTTGACAGAATGGAGGAATGGAGTGAGATTGCAATCCTCTTTACCCTCAGCGGCACAGAGATCTATGCTCGACGCTTGGGCCTCTGATTTCCAGTGGAGTCGTTTCTCAGACAATAAACAGTTGAGGCTTTTCCGGGGCAAGGTCCCACTTGCACAGATTAAGAGATTCTGGCCGTTGATCTTTGCTATCTACGGTCAATATCGCTTAATTCGTGTAAGTGGGACCTACGTGTAGCCCCCGGCCATCTGTGGGATAAGAAGGAGGATGGATCACATCCTCCCTCAGGATCGTGAAGCCCTTTTCTTGTGATGACTATGTTCTTGCTTTCTTATCAAACAAGCTCAATTTAAGGGACGCTGGACCCGGTTTTTTTTTTGTATTTTTCTTTTTTTTTTAAGCCAGCAGATGCAGCTCCGCACCAATGGCACGGAGTTATCTAAGGGGAGGAACCTCAGACAGTCAGATGCTCTTATCACTTCCTGGCTGAGGACCGACCGCCAAAAACTTTCAAGCACCGGGTGGAGATGTGAGGTCCCCGGCCTTTTTTGTAAAAAAAAAAAAAAAAAAGCCGAGTGCCGTTTCGTGGCCGGCGGGGAAAGACGGGAGGACTGGAGGCCTGGTT